GAAGGTCTCACATTCATGGCAGCTTTCCAGCACAGACTTATCACACTTTAAGCACTGGCATCGCTCTGTAGGCCAGTTCAGAATTGGTCCTAATTATTGCCAGTTTGCTTATTTGTGAACTGGTGGTCATTCTTTTTGAATCTGTCAAAGTTATAGTTTAGGTTCTTAAAGTGACAGCACCTGAATTTGCTGTACATGTTGGTACTTGCCTGAATTAGGCTCAAGTAGTTTTAAAGGGACCTACCTCCAGAAAATTGTTGTAAAAGGTTTAATGAATTCCCCAGCCAATGCCATCTGTAAGCTGGAGAGGTTTCTTTGTATGCAAACCTCCAGCTTGCATGTGCATGTTTGGGAGCCATGATTATTCCTGATTTTTAGTCTGAGAGCCATGGCTGTCAGTGAAGTGCAATTTCTTAACTAGCAGCATGTACAGTTATGCACTGCTAATTCACAGCTGCAACGTAGATTAACCTCCCTGGTGGTATTCCCAAGTGTAGCTCGGGATAAACTTTCAGTACCAGAAGTGGTAACCCCAAGCTACACTCGGGATTACCCTACAGTGTTGCTCGGGATCCCTCCAGTACTCACCTTGTCCTGCTCTCCCGCGATGTCCCCTGTGCAGCATCCCCCCGGCCATGTCCTCCGGCCGATGCCAGCATCCGTCCTCCGGGTTCCAGTCCCTGCGAGCGCCGGGACATACGGGGACGGAACTGGTAGGAAATTAAAAAATTTGACATTCACTCAATACACTAAAATCTGATAGTATTACATTACTGTATCAAACCATTTTGCATACATTTTGTCCCTAGTGCTTTGTCCTGTGCCCTGCCTGCATTTTTACTGTTCTTTCTGCCTGGAAACTGAGAAACGTCCACGGCGTCCAAAAAGCGTCCCTTTAGGTCAAAAGCGGGTTTAGATCAGCTAGAGAACAGCGATAGTAAATCAGAACCACTTGCAGAATTGAGTGATAATGATTCGTGGGGAAATTCGTCATCAGACACTGAAAACGATTCAGCAACTGAGCTCAGCAATGTGCAAACTTGGCGCTATATTTCAAATTTCAGTGTTTTTGGTTTGATTACATTATTGAACTAAATTTATTATTATTATAGTATTATTTTTAATGATTATTTATTATATTATAATTTATGATTTTGTGCTTCAAGTACCCAGGATGTTTACTAGACTCTTGTTCAGACAGATTTCAGTGAGTTATTCCTAAGAATTACAGGCCTACAATAAAAAAACAAAATTTTTCCATGCAAAAAAATGTACCGCTTTGAGCACAGAAATACTGACATAATCAGACCGCTAGGGAGGTTAAGAGAGAAAGTATGGCCAAAGTTTTTTTTTTTTTGGCCACATTTCCCTTGTGGGCCACAGACGTACACTTAGAGTCATTCTCCACTTACCCAGAGTCAGATGAAAGCTGGTTATTGCCTGATATTAATTGACAGGGCAGAGCCGAGGCAGAGTCTGGAAGGATCCCGACAATATTGGTGGGACCCACCCAGCTGCCTAACTGAGAGCTGAAACCAGCCATGCCCACCCCCCAGCCAGCAGAGCTGGAGGAACAGAGCAAAGAGCATAAACTGACAGTCATTGCTCTCTGCTCGGAATAGATCAAGAACTGAACAATCAGTGGCCAAGTGATCAAGCAGTTCTTGGTCTTAGAGCCGATGCGCAACAGCTGCATCTCGAGGGTGATGATGCAGCATGGAGATGCAGTGAGTATGATGGTATGTTTTTTTCACATCCCATAACTCTGTTTAATGTCCTCTCAGCATGGGGAACTGCACTTGAGTATGTTAATCTAAAGGCTGTAGTCATCACATAAAATAAATAATAAATAACTAATCACATATTAAAAACTAGAACGAGAAAAGGAAAACCAGAGAATGGAAGCCGCATGAGAGAAATGTTGTTGTAATGCATGGGAAGGGGATACTGAAAGAACAGGAAATTATTATCAGATTGGTGGTTTAGTGGAGAACGCTGCCTGGAAAGTATTCATGGATAAGGTCAGGCTGAGAATGAGTTGGGAAATGACCTGAAGGCAAATATAGTCATTCAAATTTAAAATCCAACTCCAGACAATTTTTTTTTTCTATTATTTAGATTGAGTGTTGGAGGGTTAGACCCTCTGTCAACTTTATATTGCTGTGTGTCAGCCAGAACAAGACATGAGTGTAATTTTGTCAATTGAATGGGTATTTGATAGAACAGAAATCGATGGAAATTCCCATGTATGGAGACACAAGCAACAAATCATTTAGTACAGCGGGGGAGTGTGAACACCCCTCTCAGAAGTTTATTACTGTTGTGTCCTATGAGAGAGATTCTCCTCCTTTCACTGTGATGCAGTACATGGGAGAGATGGATAGGTAGCATTGATGATTGGTTCTAGGGATACGAGTGTAGTTGAGCAGGCTTTGCGTTTTCCATTGCACAGCTGGCATTATTGGGAGTTGTGTTATTGATGAATAAACATACTGGTTTGGTCATAATTGGCTTTGAGGATGTATTATTGTTTTAGATTGGATTAAAAAGCTCCTTGATTGGCAGGGAATGATGGGATTGGTTCTAAGCTATGTGCTCTGTTTAGTGTTATGTAATATGGCAAACCTTTCTAAATACATTACGGAAATATAAATAAGAAAGTGAGACATAAATTGTCTGAATTGTTTTACCAAATTGATGTAGTAGATAACTGGAGAGAGAAGAACCCCATCATGTGGGATGGTACTTTATATACATACATACATAGTGCATACATAGTACCCTACAATATTCCATTTTTCATACCCATACATCTAATCCCTTTGGTAACCAGTGCACAAATACTACCTACATCATGGTCAGACCATAACCTGGATATGATTCATCTTTGGTTTATACTTAAAGTGGAACTTTACTGATAACAACTTGATAAAAAATAATGTAATTTAGCAAAGAAAATACATTCCACATTAATAATTATGCTACCTACTACTGTTTGCTGTAAATTGCCTCCAGCATTGTTCCTGTTTTTTCTTAATGTAGGCTGCCATTTTGCTGAAATTCAGAGCCCTGAGCAGCAGTAAATCTTTAGGCTGTCAGTAGATCGGCCTCTAGTGGCTTTGATTTTCGACAAACTTCTGAAAATGGAGAGCAACAGTGCATGTGCAGAGCAGGGTGAGACAGTGTATTACTGGATTTTAAACAGTATAGGCACTTATTTATATTGTTTCACATAGCTATACATGTAAGAGAGGGGCCAGCATAAAGTCATGTAGCAGGATTCTGAGATGGAACAAACATCGATTTTTCATCCAGAAGGCTAAGCTTGGAACTTTGTTGGCTTGTAAGCTGATAATTGTGATATTAAAATTATGACAAAAATTTTCATTTGAACTCCTTTCCATTGGAATATATCCACCCCGTTCAGGTTGGCTTTGTAAACAATTGGCAGGAACCAGATCAGACAAGGAGTTGGATAGATCTTATTTCTGTCATTCAGACCAAGTAGGATGCCCTCCCTGATAGGAAGACTATGTTATCTGTTTCAGTTGACCCATATATGGCTTTTGCTGTTCCTCGTTGGGTTTAACTTTCTGGTCATGTGATTATCAATCATGGCAGGCACATGATTAGAAAACCCACCCCACCTCTTGGCATTTAAAGGTCCAGGAGCTGCAAGTGTCAAGGGGTTAATAGAAAATTACAAACTGATGTTTTGATGATGACTATATACTCCTCATAGGACTACTGAGGCAGGGTTCTGTGATGCTTTCAGGAAGCTATGTACAACACATCAGGCTGGCCTCTTCCACAGCCATGATCACAGTGGCTAAATGGTTAACCTGTATGCCTGGCAGTACTAGCGTCATTGGTTCAAATCCCAGCTATGGCACCATCTGCCTGGAGTATGCAAGCTTGCATGCTCTCCCTGTGCCCGTGTGGGTTTCCTCTGGGTACTCTGGTTTCCTCCCACATTCCAAAGACATGCTGGTGGGTAATTGGATCCTGTCTAAACTGGCCCTAATATGTGTATGAATGTAAGTTAGGGACTTTAGATTGTATACCCCTTGACGGTTAGGGATGATGTGAATGTACAATGTATATGTAAAGCACTGTGTAAATTGATGGTGCTATATAAGTACCCGTAATAGATAAATAAAATCTCTAATATTGTAGGTATCAAAAAATGTAATAGTTTTGCTAGTTCCATATATGAAAATATATATTTGTGTGCCTCTATACATATCATACATTGATGCGGACCTTCACTGAAAATACAGCTTATTCCTCTCTCTCCAGCTTCTAACACAATTGCAGCTTTTTTTCGGGAAGGTTGCACCCACTTCCTCCATCCTCGCCTAGATAAGTATGATATATGCATTTGTCACACTTCTAAGGAGGCTGCAGGACATCAAAATCTCACCACTGCGAATCCACAGTAAGGAGGGAACTGTGGGATATCAGAAAGTCACATCCAAATTCCAAAATGAAGGCACCAGACAGCCAAAGCCTGGCAAAGAATGAGTTGTGGGGCAGGAGAGTGCTGGACTACATGGATTGGTATCTGTTTCTTTTTAAGTAATTGTTGTGCGGCTACCAGCTACCAGCTAGCTTTTAATTTTTTGCAACTCCACTGAAGTTCCTTTTTAATTATGAAAAAACATAATTTGCAGTGATGCACTTGTTGCGCATGAAAATTATCAATTGGAGATAGAAAACACGCTTTCTATCAAGATAAAAATAAAGCTTGAATGCAGATAGATATCTCAAAGAACAAAATGTTACTAATGGTCAGAAATAGAGGCAGTACTCAAACTCTACAGCCTTGTAGGCGACAAAGAATGGGCAAAAGTTTCACTAGTTCCCTATATGAGACTATACACATCATACATTGTAAATTATATAAAAAAAAAACATAATTTGCAGGTATAAATCAAAGATGTTATAGCAACATATTGTAAATGTAGATACATTCCACTGACACAGTTCTTTTATTGCAGATTGGTACCTGTGAAAGTCAGAATGGTTTCCCAGCGCCTGTTATCAAATGGTATAAGAATAACAGTCCTCTGAGAGATGGAAAAGATGGTTTGTACTACAATAATGATGCAATTATGTGTGCAGTACTGATATGCCAATATAAAATACATTTTTATATATATATATGTATATATATATATATATATATATATATATATATATATATATATATATATATATATATATATATATATATATATATTGTATACGGGAACTGTTTTATTTCCCAATGGATTTGAAAAATATTCCTGTTGATTCACTCCAAGATGTACACAGCCCTGCCAGACAGTATAGCTAGCCTGAGAACCTGACATTTCACTGCTAAATAATACATTGTGGTCTTGTCCCTGACCACAGCCTGTGATTGGACAGTGAAGGAGAAGCAGCAGACCGATAAGCTCATCTTTCATCTCTCTACTCCTGTCCACTTGTTTCTTGTCAGCAAATGAGCACTGCAGTATGACTGATTTGCACCTTGTGCTGTTTATCTCTCCTCCAGACTGAGCTCTGCTGTACAGTAGATTGCATTAGCAATACCACGTTGGACTAAATACTACTGCCTAAACTGGTTGCATAGCTGTCTGGTGTCCAGGGTTACTGTTTTTAAATGTAATGATTTTAATGAACACATACTGGCATGAACTGATGTTTTTATATGCTTGGGTTCAGTTTTAAACAATAATGGCAAATGAATGATTGAATGGGCTTTATTTGTTTGTTTTGTTTCTATGCACACATTACACAAGTATTTAGAAAAAAAAAGTTATTTAAATCTTGTTAAAAAGGGGTTGAGAAGGATTAAATCATATAAAACGGTCTGCAGCATCTTCTGGCCCCCAGATAGCATAAGTGGTACAGTAATTTACAATGCCTGTCAGGTGGAAATCTAACTATTTCATACAATTATACAAAGTTTTCCTACAGGACTACTGTATTTTATGGGAATTTTATAGCACTGTATATTATAAGAAGGTGGAAGTGCGATTCCCAATTCTCCCAAATATTTCCTGTACAAATCAGAAGCTATGGGAGGCGATACAAAGAGAATCCATTGTCTGTTACTCTGTGCTGTGCTAATATGTGTGCATATTACTGTGCTGTAGTAATATGGACACATCAACTGAACTTAAAGCGTATATTTATCCTGGATGGGGAAAATCAACCACTTCTGCACTGCGGCAGGGTGCATCTGCTTCCTTAATCACATGTATGTGATCCGCCATTTTCAGGCAGGGGGCACGTGTGCACACACCCGCCCCCAGACCTGTGCTGTCATTTGCTACAGCACAAGTTGGTCAACAGGTCCCAGCCAATGATTAGGGCCGAGACCTGCTGATTGGCTTAGTGAATTCCAGTACAGATCCCTGTGTTGACAAACAACACAGGGCTCTGTACATACAGCAGTTATGTGGCTTTTTGTTTTCTCCCTGCAAAGTAGAGAGATGAAACAGTCACATTGCTTAGTAAAAGCAACACATATTACACACATTGCACATTGTTAGGCACACAGTAAACCCTTTGATTGCCCCTAGATTTGAATCCCTCCCCAGCCAGAATCATTAATACAATGTGTAAAGTATCAGCACTGATCTCTGTATTAGTGTCACTGGTGATGTCAGCATCATTAAGTCATTTCCCACCCAGCTTCAGTTAGTGTCATATTGTCTGCCACACTATCACAGTTCCACTTAGTCATTGATCAATGCCATTACTAGTATAAAATAAATAAAAATTCCAATATGTACAGTTGTGCTCAAAAGTTTGCATACCCTGGAAATTGTGAAATTTTGGCATTGATATTGAATATTGAAAATATGACTGATCATGCCAAAAATGCTTTTATTGAAGGATGATGATCACATGAAGCCATTTATTATCAAATAGTTGTTTGGCTCCTTTTTAAATCATAATGGCTGCAATCTGTCTTGGTCTACCTGACCTTAGCTTGGTTTCAAGAGATCCCCGAACTTTCCACTTCTTAATAGGTGATTTAACAGTACTTATTGCCATATTCAAGGCTTTGGACATCTTTTTATGTCCTTTTCCATCTTTATAAAGCTCCATTACCTTGTTACACAGGACTTTTGACAGTTCTTTTCTGATCCCCATGCCTCAGTGACTAGCCTAGTCAGTGCATCCACGTAAGAGCTAACAAAACTCATTGACTATTTATGACACTACAATGCAATGCAATTTAAAAAGCAACAGATGTGGGACATGAACCTCTAATTGGCATTTTAAACAATTTTATGCCCCGGGGACATGAACCTCTAATGTGTGTGTCACCTTATGTGTCCATGTGTCTGTACGAAGGCCAAACATTCCAGGGTATGTAAACTTTTGATCAGGGCCATTTGGGTGATTTCTGTTATCATTATGATTTAAAAAGGAGCCAAACAACACTATTTGATAATAAATGGCTTCATATGATGATCATCATCCTTCAATAAAAGAGCATTTTTTGGCATGATCAGTCATATTTTCAATATCAATGCTAAAATTTCACAATTTCTGCCAGGGTATGAAAACTTTTGAGCACAACTGTATACCATCATTTGTAGGCGCTGTAACTTTCGCACAAACCAGTTAATATACACTTATTGTGATTTTTTTTTTTTTTTACCAAAGACACGTGGCCTAAATTTATGAAGAAATTTGATTGTTTGATTTTTTTTTAATCGAAAATGTTTTATGACAGAAAATGGAAAATATTGTTTTCAAAATGTTAGGTCCCTTTTTTCCTTTATATAATAAATTTTTTTTTTAAAAAACAGCGTTGATCAAATAACACCAAAAGAACGCTCTATTTGTGTAAAAAAATTATATCCATTTCATGCAGGCACAGTGTTGCATGACCGTGCAATTGCCAGTTAAAATAGCACAGTTCCGAATGGCAAAAAAATGTCCTGGTCATGAAGGGGGTAAAATTTTCTGGAGCTTAAGTGGTCACACATCAGCAGCTACAAATGCTGTAGCTGCTGACCTTAATTAAAGGACACTTACCTGCTCAGGGATCCATCACCATCCTCACAAGGGCCGGTTCTTCATCGGTCTTTGGGGTTCCCGGCACCAGCATGTTTACTGTGGGAAGGCAGCTGTGACTGCTTGTGGCTTCCACTGCTCGAGCTGCACTGTGGTTATTGAATGGTCCTGCAGCCTTCTGGGACCCGTGACGTGTCTCAGAAGACCGCAGGCAAAGGGGGGGCTGATCTTCCTCTCTGATCGCCTGGGCAATCCGAGTGGAAGTGGGAGGCCTGTCAAAACTAGGTACTCACCCCCCCCCCCAAAAAAAAAAAAAAATGTGCCAGATGTGATAGAGGAGGGCAGAGGAGGATATAAGGTGGAACTCCCCTTTTGGGTGGCTTTCATTGATCAGTCAGTTTTTTAGGATGAATTTCATGCAAAAATAATGGCACATTAGATTGTTTAAAGTTACTTTTATTGCCAGGGGCATATGCTTTATTGGGAGCTAAGCTACACAAGTGTTTTTTTTTCGAGTTAAATCCTGTTACTAAAACTGCTAATGAATAAATGCAAACAATAGACAGTAAATGGAACCCTATTGTGCAAGTGAAACATCTGAATCCCAGGCACCAGACATTTTACCTAAAGTTTGACAAAATGCTATTTATAAAAGTCTAAACAAGTGCCAAATTCTATTATGTACAAGCCTCATAAAGTAAACTAAAAACTTACTTTACCTTCACTGACTGGGCCAAATCCTCCTTTATTTGTGTCTCACACACATTCCCTTCCAGACACTGCAGCTCATGGTGGGAGGGTTTCTGCAACAACTCAGAAAGCAGTGGATAGGACTAGGCATGGCCAGGTGATAACTGACAAGCCTGTGAATCAGCAATACTGATTAGGCTTGTTCTGTCAACATTTTGTCATCCTTTGTAGTGCAAGCAGCCACAGCCTATACTCCTTTAAGTGGTTGGACTCCCTAAATACTTCCAGTCACATTTCAGGATAAAAACATTGCTTAAGGAAAAAAAATGGAAGTAATTTAAAATTTTTCTGTGCATCTATCTAATATTTTTTAAAATGGTGACAGGGAATCTTTAAAGAGAAGCTGTGCCCAACAAAATGGCAGGCAGAGGGCAACAGACACCAGCATTGCCTGTGGTCTTTCTGCAGCCGTTTTACGCATTACAGAATGAACATGCCTTGTTACTGTGTACCTGTGCGGTGGGCAGGCACAGGCAGGGGCGGACTGACCATTTGGAAACTCGGGCACTGCCCGAGGGCCCGGGGTCAGTAGGGGGCCCCATGAGATGCCCCTGGTACCTTTTTCATAGGCTTTTTTGAGTTTGGACAAGGACACAGGGGCCCCATGATCCCCTATTGCCCGGGGGCCCCATGAGTTGTCAGTCCGCCCCTGGGCACAGGGCTAGGCTTCTTCATGTTAAAAACAGAAGAACAGTGAGTCCCAGAGTAATGACATCACCAAGTCTCTTGAGGCTAGCAGTCATAGGCAGAAGTGCCTTAGATCTCACACTGCAGATATGAAGTCACACTATATTGCCAAAAGCATTGGGACACCTGCCTTTATATGCACAGGAACTTTAATGGCATCCCAGTCTTAGTCTGTAGGATTCAATATTGAGTTGGCCCACCCTTTTCAGCTAAACCAGCTTCAGCTCTTCTGGGAAGGCTGTCCACAAGGTTTAGGAGTGCGTCTATGGTAATGTTTGACCATTCTTTCAGAAGCGCACTTGTGAGGTCAGGCACTGATATAGGGAGGAGAAGGCCTGGCTCCGTCTCTGCTCTAATTTATCCCTAAGGTGTTCTAACTGGTTGAGGTCAGGACTCTGTGCAGGCCAGTCAAGTCACTCCACCCCAACAGGAAGGGGCTATCCCCAAACTGTTCCCACAAAGTTAGGAGCATGCAATTGTCCAAAATGTCTTGGTATGCTGCCGCCTTAAGAGTTCCCTTTACTGGAACTAAGGGGCCAAGCCTAACCCCTGAAAAACAACCCCCACACCATAATCTCCCCTTCACCAAACTTTACACTTGGCACAATGCAGTCAGGCAAGTACTGTTCTCCTAGCAACCACCAAACCCAGACATGTCCATCGGATTGCCAGAAAGAGAAGCGTGATTAGTCACTCCAGAGTCCAGTGGTGGCGTGCTTTACACCACTGCATTCGATGCTTTGCTTTGCACTTTTTAATGTAAGGCCCAAGCCAAATGCAGCTGCTCGGCCATGGAAACCCATTCCATGAAGCTACACAGTGTTATTTTGCTAATCTGAAGGCCACACAAAGTTTGGTCTTAGCTATTGACTCTGCAGACAGTTGGTGACTTCTACGCACTGTGTGCTGCTATAGAATGCGCTAATCCCGCTCTGTCATTTTACGTGGTCTACCACTTCATGGCTGAGTTGCTGGTATTCCCAGTTGCTTCCACTTTGTTATAATACCACTAACAGTTGACAGTGGAATATTTAGTAGCAAGGAAATTTCAGGGATGGACTTATTGCACAGATGGCAACCTATCACAGTACTGCACTTGAATTCACTGATCTCCTGAGAGCGACCCATTCTTTCACAAATGTTTGTAGATGCAGTCTGCATGCCTAGGTGCTTGATTTTATACATCTGTAGCCATGGAGGTGATTGGAGCACCTGAATCCAATGATTTGGAGGGGTGTCTCAATATTTTTGGCAATATAGTATATGATTGTGTGCCTAAACACACTCACATACAAAGAGTTGCACTGCATAGGCACAATCAGAGCTGCTTTAGGCACAATTAACATTTCTGAATGTTTCCTATAACATAGCAGATCTTCACTTTTTGTTTTCAGTTTCATTTTAAGACCCAAACCACAATTAGCATTTAGCCTCGGAACATGAGTCTCCAGTGTTTATGTGTGGAATGAAGACACATATACAGTGTACAGCCCCTCTGCCGGCAGCCTGTAAAACTCTGAGAGGCTAAAAGCTGCTGTGGCTGGGCAGGGTTGGATGGTGTACTGAGTGTTGCTAATGTTTAGGGCAGAATACACGTAGGGATGAATGTGCAAAATGTTCGGATCGCTTTAAGAGAGCATTTGACAAGCTTGCTCCTCTAAATCCTATACTAGCTCGCCTGTCTTGCAGGACGCTTGCAGAGCTGCTGCCCCAATCACTTTAACGGGTCACATTCAGCAGGAGCTATACCCCCCAGAAGTGACGGAGTATAATTCCTGCCCCAGCTTCAAAGTATAACTAAAGGCAAAACATTTTTTTTAGTTTTGGACAGAGTGGAGATGGATTTGAATACCTGTTAGCTTTTTATGCTGTCTGTGTCCCCCGTAAGGGAGATTCACCCTCTCTATTTGTCCTGTTTACCATTGTCATTGAAAGAGAAAGTAAAAGAAAATCCCAAATTTTGGATTATCCCCAGAAAAGTAAGAGAGGGGAAATTTTCCAATGGGGACACTGGTTCCCTAGGGATTCATTTATTTTTCAGGAATTTCCTCTCACGTCCTGTTTTTGCCTATGGGATAGAACGTGAAATTATATCTTCCCAATGGGACGCAGATTGCAAAAAAAATTTGACAAGGGTTATAACCCTCCCTTACACTATCCGAAAAGTTTTGCTTATAGTTCTACTGTAACGTCCATAGTCTTGGCACAGGTGACTAAAGGAAAACTACTGTCAGGAGAAAGACCACCAGTAGCACCCAATAGAAAAAATTAGAAGACAACCTTATGGAATAGTTTTTTTTACTAAACTGAGTTTCTGTAAAGAAAAAAATTGACCAGGAATTTAATCAACATGCATGTCTATTCTAAAATAAAAAGGGTTTTGCCTGCAGTTATATTTTCCTTTAAAAAAAAAAAAAATGTAGAAAAAAAAAATCACGTGACTTGTATGATAGGCTTCATTTAAAAAGTTTTCTTCTGATTTTGTCTGTACATAGGTGTTGAAATCCGTACTCAGGTTTCAACAGGATCTACGGGGTTAATTTCAGTGAGAAGTATTTTGTTGGTCCCCGTGAAGCAGTCTGATGCCAGTGCTTTCTTTTACTGCGATGTCTCATACAGTCTTCCAATGGGGGAGCATATGCTGGAATCTGAGAGAAAAAATATCACGGTGCATTGTGAGTATGTTTTCTGTACATGGCACTTAATTCCCTAAGCTGTAATGATTATTTGTCATTATTCTTTGCAATGAGAGCTGAAAATAATAGTGGGGTCAGTTCACAAACCCCAGTTGAATTGTTGCGGTCCTTATAGACATTTCTAGGTCCATGGCACCAAAGTAAACAAAGGGATAGGGTCAACCATGTGGTGTAACTGACCAAATATGGACATGAGTTGTCAGATGTCGCCATAATTGATGTGGACCTGCATCGCTGGACAACATGATTAACAATAGATGTACATCATGGGACTTTTTTTTTAAGGATTTTTTGAAACATTTGAGTGCTTTTACTTTTAGGGCACGTTTTTTCTTTTGTACCCCTTACTCATTCACATAGGGGTTGGGGCCAGTATCTGGGGGATCTCTAAATGTTAAAAGGGCCTCCAGATTCTGATAAGCCACCCGTCTGCAGACCCCCTAACCATATTGTGAGGAGGAGGCCCTTGTGCTCATCAACATAGGGACAGGATGCTTTGTTAGGGGGGGGTCCCTGCTCTCCCATGTTAAGGGCATGTGCCTTGGTATGTGCTGGTTTATTCCCCCCCACCCCACCCTTTCTTGGTCTGCCAGGCCCCACACTGATTTTTTTTAAACACTGTCCCTGCTCGCTTGTTTACATTCACCTGTCAGCTGAGAATCCTGGCTGACAGCTGAAAGAGCAGGACAGGGATAAGTCAATGGTTACTAAGAATCCAGCGGGAGCTGAAACTGTCACATTTAGCAGTAGCAGGAATGGCAGTGGTATGACTGTTAAGCTGAAATGTGATGGAAATTGTATTGCACTTGGATTACAAGTAAGAATGCTTTGATTTTAGTGGACATTGCATCCTTGTGTCTCATATACTACAGCAAGATAGTGGTGCCTGCTTGATGTGGTCATTCTAATTAGAACTTTCAATTTCTGTCAAACTTCAAGTTGAAGTGTAACTCACCCTCACTGAAGTATGATATATATATATGTATATTGCATTGTATCCTAGGTTACAAATAAATGTTATGCATCATTTCTATTAGAATCTAACATCCAATACTGGTTTCCTGCTTTACAGACCCTACTACCTCAATAAAAGTATACTTTAGAAGCCCATCTGAAATGATAAAGGAGGGAGATATTGTGGACCTAAACTGTGAGGGTAATGGAAATCCACAACCTTCATATACACTGAAAAAGGTAAAAAGCATTTATTATTTCTGAAATATGGGCTGATGAAAACAGAGTTTTGTTTCTTTGTGCAAGTGTTAGTTATATCGCGCAGTTGTGGAATAAAAGAAAAAAAGTACAGTGTGCAGTGCAAATGGTCAGAAACATTTTTCAAAGTTATTGGTCAACTTCAAGTATCTCTGTAGAGTTTTTGTCACAGTAGAAGTGGTACTACTGGTGCAGTAAACCTCTTAAAGGTTCAGCCCATGCAAAACGGATACTTTGTTATAGATAGAACCTGGAAGTAGATCATGGATAGTTCAACAGTCAGAAATCCTTAATGCAGTTCCTGATTCTGTTCTGGTCACAGCAAGTTATCCTGTCCACGTTTTGATTGTTCCAACACTGTCTGTTGCATTATATTTACAATACCATAAAAATCCATCCAGGAGGGTAAGGGAAGGCAGGAACCTTTCTAATGTCCACTGCAGTTGTGCAGACCTCAAGTGCAGCTAGCTTGCATACAGGGTTCACAAAGAAATTGTGAGGCAGCTTAACTTTTCAACATTTACCGACTGAAATCTCAGATTGGGGTGAGCTGACCCTTTTGGCCCATTCAGACTACTGTGGTCCCCTGTGATACATTTATATGCATTGTGTTAAGACAGACTATTCATGAGGAACACCTCCAACACACCTCAATGAACAAAAAAATAAGCACAACCCTTCTTAGCAATGCAGTGTACCATAACACGCAATATATGTATTGTGGTGTGCTGTGTTGTGTGTTGGCTACTAACATTCATAAAGAATGGCACCGCAAAGCACAACACATAAAAGTGCACACTTTGGTAACACAGGGTAACTGAAATGCACACGTGTGAAGGGTCCCTTTATGTTTAACATTCTTACTTTGGGAATCACTGTTTATTAGAAAAATTTCCTAGAGTGGAATTTTGAGCTTTATTTGCTTGTAAGGAAGGCCATATTTTCATAACATTTATTTTTTAAGTGTAATAAAAATTAAAGATTAACCATCCCCAAATACTGCCATCCCTTGCCACCCTTATTACGTTTATACATTGAATCTAACACTCCAGATTTAACACATATGGGTTGATTTACTAAAACTGAAGAAGGCAAAATCTGGTTTAGCTCTACATAGAAACCAAACCTTCCATGTTGTATCATCAAAGCTTAATTGAACAAGCTGAAGTTAGAAGCTGATTGGCTCCCATGCACAGCTGCAACAGATTTTGCGCTCTCCAGTTGTGGTAAATCAACCCTATAGCTCCCAAATCTCCCTCATTTGAAAAGACTGTCCCTCTTTTGGAACCAAATACCTCTTACTTTTGATGCATAGGTCTCTATAAAATGTACTATTTAACTAACAAAAGTGTTCTACTACACTTAATCATCCTCTATGATTGCATTTTTTATTCTGAAAAGCCACTGTAAAGGAAAAGGAGTGGTGAAAAAGGAGCTTTTGGGTTTAAGCAGCCATTTTTGGCTTTTTCATTCTTCATAGACCCACTCCATAACTAGGAAGTATGTAGACAATCTAGAGGTTTCAGCCAGATTATACCGCACACTGGACCAGGATACAGTGGTTAAAAAATAATAACATGTGTAACAAGGCTCATTCAGGGTGCTGGTCAGCTAGTCATAAAGTGGTAGTAAACTCTTATTTTTAACTTTTACCTACAGGTATGCTTATAATAAAGCTTATCTGTAGGTAAAATGAATAATGGTGCACCTTTAGGAGATATTCTCTCTTCTTTAGAGCCAACGCATGCACTCTGAAGGAACGGCATACCTGTACTGTTCCTTCAGAGTACTGTGCCACGACCCTGGACTCCTGTGTGCATGTGCAGGAGTGACGTCATCGTGGCCCAGCCTGTCAAATCCTGAGCTAATGAAAAGGAAAGGAAGTCCAGGGGAAGATGGATGCCTCTGCAGTGGGTGACAACGTGTCGCTGGAGGGCTTCGTTTTAAGGTAAGTCTTACATAATTTGCTAGTATGCAATGCATACTAGCACATTATGACATTACCTTGCAGGGAACTTTTTTTTCTGCAGTTTACTAACGCCTGTGTAACTAAAGTGTAACGAAAGGCAATTTTTAAAATTTATTTTAGATAGGGTAAGGGGGGATTGTAATAACCCTGTCAGTTTTTTTTTTGCCATCTGTGTCCCATTGGGGAGATTTTCCTTCACCTCCTGTCCTATAGCCAAACCAAGATGTAAAAGGAAATCCCTAGTGTCCCCATTGGAAGATTTCCCCTCTATTAGTGTTCTCATGTGATTTTCTTTTTATTTAACTTTTGCTGATAATGGTAAACTTGACAAATAGGGTGAATCTCCCTAACGCGGGCACAGATAGCAAACAAAACTGACCGGTATTCCAATTCCTCTCCACTCTATCCAAAACTAGAAGAAAATAAGTTGTGCCTTTAGTTACACTTTAAACTTAATCGGCGCACTTGCATCTTGACCGTCTCCGTCTCCATGCTGGACTACTGCCAACCAGGCCACATATATAGTAGAAGCAACATCTTGTCCCATTTCACCCTTTATAGGTTGACCAGAGTCAAAGCTTTAAATATAAAGGTGGAATAGTGATTATTTTTACGCTATTTCCTTTATTTCTTCTATACTGCACAAACATTTGGAAATGTGAATGTTGTGTATACAAAATATTGTCAGAACTGCAATATTTTCTATTGTTTTTACATGGTATCCATTTTTAAATTTTACAAAACCTAAAAAAAAACACTTATAAGGGTCCATGCACACTGGCTTAAAAAACACAGCTCCTAGAGGGGTTTAGTGTTTTGCCTAATGTTATCCTATGTGCCCATGCACATTAGGTCGATTACAGCATTAGGCATATTTAAAGCTTGGCGTCTAGGCTCCATGCACACTACTAGTGTTTTTTTTAAGCTCCTAGAAGCTATTATGAGCATTTTGTTTTCTACTCCTAGAAAGTAATAGTGTTATCCTATGTGTCCATGCACACTATTTTATGCTACAAGTGTTTTTCAAGCTTTAGCATTTGAAGCAGGAAAAAAGTGTTTTTGTTGAGTTTTTGGGAGTGTTTTCTCAGCAGAAAAAATTCTGAATGCTCCTAAATGCTCCTAAACACTTCTAAATGCTACTAAAGAAAAATCACATTTGTTTTGCATTTTTGAGAGTGCTTTTCTGGCAGAAAAAAAAGGGCTAAATGCTCCTTTTTTTTGCCAAGAGCACTTGTTTTTTTTTTAAGCCAGTGTGCATGAACCCTAAACATGCTGAAAAAGTAATGGAAAACTCCTTTCAGACTTTCTATGCATAGAGGTTGATGTACTAAAACTGGAGTGTGCAAAATTTGGTGCAGCTGTGGATATCCAATCAGCTTCTAACTTCAGCTTGTTCAATTAATCTTTGACAAAAAAATGGAAACTGTGTGAGATTTTGCACTCTCCAGTTCAATCAACCCCACACTGTATACTTTTTGACACCTTTGACTGTCTAAACACTCTTATGTGTTCCCAGAAACATAATGATACCATTTTGGAAGAAGATTCACCATATTCTTGGAAAGTTTCACGTGAAGATTCTGGGGTTTATGTCTGCACATCACTCGATGTGGAGAGTCTCGATGTGGTAGAATTGGAAGAAGAGACCACACTCTATGTCTACTGTAAGTTGAATTATTTGACATATAGGTTCTTTTTTTAAAAAGTGTAGCTGTGCATTTTAGTTAGTCCGCATGTTGGTGTAGTTTTAATGTTTGGAAAATTGTTTTTCCACCCTGTGGAAAGAGACAAAAACAAACCAACCCCCCAGCCCAGAGAGCCTTCCACTGCCCCTCATACACCTGCCACCATCTCCCCCACCTGGCGAGAGAAACAATTACCTTCAAACTCCGGACATTCAAGGAATGAGAGTCGGGCTATGCATACACAGTAAAGCGGCCCACAGCTTCTCACGGATCCTCATCCCCATGTCACATGTATCCCTTCTTCTGTCCCTTCTTCCACTTGCCCCCTGAAAAATGCCACCCTAGGCAAACGCTGTGTTTGCCTTGTGGTGAATACGCCCTTGCTGCCAGGCAGAATTGCTAATAATTTAGCCACTGTGCTGCACTATGTTAAATACTGGTATGTTGTTGTTCTTAATTTTGGATAAAGTTAAAAAAAAGGGCTAGAACCCCGGTCTGGTTTTTACTGCTCCTGCTGGCAAAGTTTTATTGGACAGTAAGGGAAGGAAACTTTCCAACAGCAATGCAGAATTAAATCAAAAATGCTTTTTTTTTAAATATAGTAAATGAAGGCTAGAACCTGGGAGTTTGTAAAGTATGTCTACAGAGAAGCTGTATTGTGTCCATCCTATTCCTTGCAGGTGCACCCACACTTCGTGTAGTGTGTTGTAGTGAATTGGTGGATGGCTCTTGCATGCAATCATCATAAAAAAAGGATCTTCCCCAGCACACCTTGGTATAGTGATACTCTTGATCTTTATTTGCATAAAGTAACAGACATCACATGCTGACATTTTGGGAGTTCATTGACAAAGCACTTACAGTGGCTTAAAAAAGTATTCATACTCCTTGAAATTTTCCACATCTTGTAATGTTACAACCAAAAACATAAATGTATTTTATTGGAATTTTTTGTGATAGACCAACACAAAGTGGCACATAAATGTGAAGTGGAAGGAAAATGATAAATGGTTTTCAGAATGTTTACAAATAAATATCTGAAAAGTGTGGCATGCATTAGTATTCAGCCCCCTTCACTCCGATACCCCTAACTAACATCTAGTGGAACCAACTGCCTTCAGACGTCATCTAATGAGTAAATAGAGTCCACCTGTGTGTAAATTGAACTGCTTGGCCTAAAAGCAAAATGCTATGTAAACATCACCCTGAACACACCATCCCCACCGTGAAACATGGTGGTGACAGCATCATGTTGTGGTGATGCTTTTGTTCAACAGGGAAGCTGGTTAGAGTTGATGGGAAGATGAATGGAGCCAAAAAGAGGGCAATCTTAGAACAAAAGAAACAAAAACACTGCGCTAAAAAATACGTGCCAAACAAGATATGGGAATAATATTCAGATCCTTCATGTCTAGACTGGGTTTTCCTGGGCTGGCTCATCAACCACAGGTGTGCTAACTAAGATCTGAGCTCAGACTGTGGTGTCTGTTTATGAACCAGCAGTAATAGATCACTGCTCAGTTCTCCGGCATTCTCGGAGAACACAGTTCTCCTGTGAATGCCATTTATGAAGCAGTGTAGATCAGTTCTCCAAACGAAGGGAGAACAGTCTACAAATGCTGGAAAACGGCTGATTTTACTATAATCTCACGAGATTACAGTAAAAGATCAGTTTACTAAACAGAGGTAAATTATCGCTGCTTAGTTTGCGGTCCCTCTGATTCTCCAGCTCTGGGCTGGAGAATCTGGAGGGAGAACACAGATCTCCAGTGAAGGGCTGAACATGTTCTCCTCAGTGGTATAAACTGTGAATGACCATAGAATAGCTGCGATCCTCTGAATCGCAGCTATTCTCTGTGTCATAAAAGGACACCTGTGTTAGGTTCTGACCTGGGAACAGAAAGCTGGATCTGCGGAGCTGAGAAAACAATATACAAGGAACTTTTGAAGAGTCATCAGAAGAGATTTGTGAGTGTTGTTTGTGGAGGACTTCGAGACTCAGGCACGACCAAGCTACCAGAGGAGGAAGGAGGGTGGCTGTACATCATCTTTAGTGCCTTTACACCTATTACCAACTAACCCATGGAATATCATCTGTGAGTGAGATCTTGGTATATTGGAGACGGTGAGTGTCATTGAGTGGGAGGTGATCCTCTTATTTTAGGATATACATCTTTAAGCTACTCAGCCAACCATGAGAATGGGGGGCATGGCGGTCTGGTGAGTGCACGCCTGAAGGGGGGAACACTATATTTTGCACACGTGGTGATTTGTGTTGGAGAATTGGAAGACTTTGTGGGCTTATTAAAGACTTTTTGTGGGCTTTTTCACAATAATAGTTTTATTTTGTGAGTCTATTAAAGACTTTTTCTGGACTTTTTCACAATAAGAGTTTTATTTTGTGAGTCTATTAAAGACTTTTTCTGGACTTTTTCACATTAAGAGTTTTATTTTAAGATTAATGTATGTGTTATTTTGCGCTACTGAATCACTTTGAAGTTTCTAATCTTAGAAGAAAACCTGTTAGAGTCTGCAAAAGACTTGAGACTGGGCCGGAGGTTCATCTTCCAGCAGGGCAATGATCCTAAACATACAGCCAGAGCTACAATGGAATGGTTTAGATCAAAGCATATTTATGTGTTAGAATGGCCCAAAGTCCAGACCTAAATCCAATTGAGAATCTGTGGCAAGACTTAAAAATTGCTGTTCGCAGACGGTCTCCATCCAATCTGACAGAGCTTGAGCTATTTTGCAAAGAAGAATGGGCAAAAATGTCACTCTCTAGATGTACAAAGCTGGTAGAGACATCCCCAAAAAGACTTGCATCTGTAATTGCAGCGAAAGGTGGTTCTACAAAGCATTGACTCAAGTATTGCCAAATGCACGCCACACTTTTCAGATATTTATTTGTAAAAAAAAACTGTGAAAACCATTTATCATTCTCCTCCCACTTCACAATTATGTGCTACTTTGTGTTGGTCTATCACATAAAATCCCAATAAAATACAGTTAAGTTTTTGGTTGTAACATGACAAAATGTGGAAAATTTAAAGGGGTATGAATACTTTTTCAAGGCACTGTATTTAGGTATATTCTTGGTTAAAAACACACACACAAAAAGGGATAACTTTAAGTGTGGGAGGGGCTATGAGGTCATTCTTACATCACAGTTTTGTACATACTGAATGTCTGTACATAAATGTCTGATTGGTTGTTGTACTATTAAGCTGTGAGTCTTCTGCTAAGTGCCCTGAAAAAGGTTTCCTGCGAGGTCCCAAACGGCTTGTGATGTCTTACTTTATGTGAATAAAGGGCAAGATTATCACTATACCAAGGTGTGCTGGTGAAGATCCTTATACTATGAGATTTGCATGTCTGTCTGTGTCCCTGATGCAGATTTACCCTAATTTCCTGTCTGGTGAAACTGTTGTGAGAAGGACAGGAAGAAAGGAAGCACAGTGGCTAAGTGGTTAGCACCTTTGCCTACAGTTGTCAGTTTGAATCTCAACCACGACACTACCTGCATGGAGTTTGTATGTCCTCCCTGTGCCTGTGTGGATTTCCTCTGGGTGCTTCTGTTTCCTTCCGTACTCCAAAGACATGCTGGTAGGATAACTGTCCCCTTTCTAACCTGGCCCTAGTATTAATGTGAGTTAGGGACTTTAGACTGTAAGCTCCTTGAGGACAGGGACAGATGTGAATATGCAATATGTGTACGTAAAGTGCTGCGTAAATTGATAGCGCAATATAAGTACCTGTAATAAATAAATAAATAAAGGCAGGGATGAGTCACTCCTATATAGTTAGTCAAGTTAAAAAAACAATAATTCAGCCAATAGAAAAAAAAACTAATAGAAAACCTCCATATACACAATTGCATACCCACGGTTGATCCTGAGGAAGGCAAAAAAACAATAAAGCATGCTCCTATGGGGTAAAATTCCTTCCTGATCACCCAGGAGCTAATCATATGTCCCCTTGCTCAACTACCCCTGGTGTTGTTACCATAAATGCTAGTAGAAATGTGTCCTGGTCTTTTTTCAAACAATCTACTGAGCTGGCCAGAACTAGTTGTTGAGGGAGTTTATTCCACATTTTCACAGCTCCTAGTGTGAAATAGCCCTTCTGCATGTGAAAGTTAAATCTCCTTTCCTCTAGATTTAGAGTGCCCCCTTGTCTTCTGTAATGACCTGAAAGTAAATAACTGTACACCAAGTTCACCATATGGACCACCTACAGTCAGGTCCATAAATATTGGGACATCAACACAATTCTAAAATTTTTGGCTCTATACACCACCACAATGGATTTGAAATTAAACGAACAAGGTGTGCTTTAAGTGCAGACTGTCAGCTTTAATTTGAGGGTATTTACATCCAAATCAGGTGAACGGTGTAGGAATTACAACATTTTGCATATGTGCCTCCCACTTGTTAAGGGACCAAAAGTAATGGGACAGAATAATAATCATAAATCAAACTTTCACTTTTTAATATTTGGTTGCAAATCCTTTGCAGTCATTTGCAGCCTGAAGTCTGGAACGCATAGACATCACCAGACGCTGGGTTTCATCCCTGGTGATGCTCTGCCAGGCCTCTACTGCAACTGTCTTCAGTCCCTGCTTGTTCATGGGGCCTTTTCCCTTCAGTTCTTTCTTCAGCAAGTGAAATGCATGCTCAATCGGATTCAGGTCAGGTGATTGACTTGGCCATTGCATAACATTCCACTTATTTCCCTTAAAAAACTCTTTGGTTGCTTTTGCAGTATGCTTTGGGTCATTGTCCATCTGCACTGTGAAGCGGCGTCCAATGAGTTGTGAAGCATTTGGCTGAATATGAGCAGATAATATTGCCAGAAACACTTCAGAATTCATCCTGCTGCTTTTGTCAGCAGTCACATCATCAATAAATACAAGAGAACCAGTTCCATTGACAGCCATACATGCCCACGCCATGACACTACCACCACCATGCTTCACT